TATCCGAGAACTCAATGTAGATCACTGTTGTTGCGTCCATCATGTAGATCTGAGAATGAAACGGAAATTAAGTAGGGTGAGAATTTTGAAAATTCTTAGTAAGACTGTGTATTTCTATGTGACATCGCTTTCTTTTTTAGTTGCTTTGGTTTTTATTTAAATAAAGAGTTTTTAAAAACATGGCCCGAAGCAAAGTAAATTCTATGTCTAACATTTATAATACACAAGATCATAATGATTATGATACACATATACAAGAAATTAAATAAATTATTAAAAGACTCAACATCAATCATACATATGACAGAACAATACTTAAAGTTGTAACTGAAAGCAACATTGAAATGAATTAATATAAATTAAAATACTTTCAATCACATAATAATGTACTTAATTCTCATATATGTTCCTATCCTTGGTCCCCTGGGAGTTTTTGGCCATAAGACTCTTGGGTAATAGTTTACTTATCAGGATCGAGCTCGTTCCTATACAGGATTTGTTAGGTTTACTTTTCTCAACGCTCCCACTGACTTATTCTCCTTAACTTTTTATCCGAAGCTGGCCCAAGTGATATAGGACTTTCTGATAACTTTCAATCATCTTAAATTTTCATAACTTTCATATTGTATCTCACATATCTCTTTGAAATTTTACAATTTATCCATAATTCTTACAAAATTTGTACAGCATAACAGATCATATTTGCTTTCTAACAAACAAACATTCACATATCATAGCAAATAAATAAATAAATAAACAAAACCTTTAAATTCATAATTCTTTCCTTAAAGGGATAAATTTTGCCTTGTTTTATTTTTACTACTTTATTGCTATATGACTTTAATAGACTTGGATTTTTTATATGTTGAAGCCTATTTGTCTATTTTCTAACCTAATTGGTCCCATTCAGTTTTGACAACTACAGCTCAGGATTTTTGCTTTCTACTATAACCTGTCTTGTGATTAGCCAGAATAGCACTCAAAAATGTTAAAATCCACCAAATTCGAATTCTAAGTGTATAACTGCTAAATTCATGTCAATTTAAAGTTAAGGAATCAAATTTTATTATCCAAAAAGTTTCATTTCATTTGGTTAAATATAACTTAAGCTATAAGTTTCTAAAGTTGGTTGTTATAGGTTGTTCTATTTCTGACTCAACAGCAGTAGGGTAACTTCGGAAAAATTCTAGGAACTGCTCAAAATGAATTGGACTCTGAAATTTTTATGGTATAAAGTAATATATCTTATCTTTTTAGCAAATTTTGTTCCACCTCAATCCAAGTTATTTGGAATGAGTTATGTCTTACGCAAGCTTACCTGCCCAAAATCAAAATCTGAAACTTAAACCAAACTTAAAATTTCATAACTAATTCTATACTAATCCAATTGCTTAATAATTTATATGTATAGAAATATTTGGATGTCTTGTTCAAGTTAAAAATATTTTCATAATATTTAAACAGTAAATAATTGGTCGACATAGTGTATTTGTACGAAAACCCTAGAAAATTCTATTTTTAGACCTGTTGTTTCCTTTCTCTTCTTTGTTTTTCTACTTGATCCACCTTCAAACTCACCCAACCCACCATTAATCCAGATATACATAATAAAAACATCACATAAATCATGGATTAAGATATTTAAAACATAAGCTAGGCAGCCACACATATCCACATAAGCATAACATCAAAGATAGAACCCTACCTCTTTTGAGCACCAATTTGATTCCAAAGATGTTTCTAATTTGCAAGTGTAGGTGAGCTTGAGAGAAAATTTATGGAGGTAAGAAAAGGAGAAAGATGGAGAAGAGAGCGAGGGAAAGCAAAATATCCAAGTGGCCATGACGAATGGAGTTACTTGGCAAATTTTTATTGGTTCATAAATCTTGTGGTCTCAAATGAGCCACAAGGTTGATTATGAGCCATTGGATCAAGGTGTGGTGGATGGTTTCTCCACCGTTGGATCTAGGACAAATAATATTATTTTATTCTGATAATTTAAACTATTGAAACTATACTAGTTTCTCTCCTAAAAGAAAATTCTACTATAAACTTTTAATTCTAGTCTACCTAATCAACATAAATTTGAATTCTAATAAATATTCAATTAATCTCTTATTAACCTTATTCATGTAAATGAATCAAGAAAATCAATTAATAGCATAAAACAGACACTTAAAAATTTGGACGTTACATTCCTCACATTATCTCTCCTAATCAAACTAGTTTCATCCCTAGTAGACAGGGTATAGACAATGTCCTAATTTTTGCAAGAACTTATTCACTCATTTGATAAAATTAAAAGTAGGTCTCGTTATATGCTCATTAAAATAGATTTAGAAAAAGCTTATGATAGGTTAAGATGGAATTTCATCTCTGATACCATTCAGTTAATTGACTTCAATAATGAAATTGTTGATCTCATAAACCATTGCATTACATCTTCCCCAATGACCATCAATTGGAACAATAGCAGGATAGAGAGCTTTAAACCTAGAAAGGGCATTAGGCAAGGGGGTCCAATTTCTTCCTATATATTTGTAATGTGTGTCGAGAGGCTATCCTATTTAGTTCAAGATCAGGTTAATAACAACAATTGGACTCCTTTTTCCTTTAACAATTCTAGGCTTCAAATATCCCACCTTCTTTTTGTGGATGATATTATTCTAGTTTCTAAAGCAGATCACCAAAATAGTCAATCTTGTGTTTATTTTCTAGAAGTTGTGACCCTGCCATCAAACAAAGTGTAGAATATGCCCTGAGAATTAAACCTTCCTCTCAGTTTGGTAAATACCTAGGTATCCCCATTAGTCACTCTAAGCCCTGGAGGAAGGACTTTGTTTTCTTAATTGATAAAATAAAAAGGAAGCTTTCAACTTGGAAAATGAAATCCCTATCTCTAGCTAGTAAAATTACTCTTTCTCAGTCTTGTATTATGAACATCCCAAATTACTTCATGCAAACAATGATAATCCCTAAAATTATTTGTAATGAAATTAATAGTATTTGCAAAAAGTTCATTTGGGACTCTCTTGATAATAGAAAATGTCATTTAATTAGCTAGGATAAGATTTGTAAGCCTAAAAAGGAAAATGAGATTAGGATTTAGGGATATCTATTTTGTTAACCAATTTTTCATTATGAAGTTGTGTTGGAGGCTGGTTACCTCCCCTAATGAGCTTTGGACAAAAGTCCTTTGCAACAAGTATAGATTTTCTCTTCGGGTTAACCCCTTCCCTTGTTCTACTCATAACCTCTTTATGGAAAATTATAGCCTTTGTTTTGGGAATGTTTCTATACTAGCCTTAGCTGGAATTTAGGTGATGGCATGACAATTCGATTTTGAGAGGATAATTGGGTTTATAATAACCAGGCCCTGTCAAAACTGGCTACTCAACCCATTCTTGAGAATGATTTAAGAGAACATGTCTTTTTCTTTTCCAGACAAGGTAGCTAGGACTGGAATAGAAAGGAATTTACTTCCTGTGACTATTTGTGACCTCATTTCTAACATCAAACCCTCCTCTCTAGATAGTGGCCAGGACCATGCCTTTTGGAAATTAGCTAATGATGAGAACTTTTCATTAAAATCTGCCTACAATTTTTTATCTAATATTGGCCAAACCAATGAAAGATCATGCGAAGATTTTTACTCTGATTTGGGATTGGGAGCCCTCCTCCCCCCAAAGATATCCATCTTCTTATAAAAAATTGTCCATGGTAAGCTTCTTACTAATGAGGAAAGGTATAATCAGAAAATGGTTGTAATCCTGCTTGTACTAAGTACATGAAAGCCCCTGAAATTGTTAGAGTTTAATCTTTCTAAACAAAACTTTCCTTTTCATCCTCTCTAGAGCACTATTTTTGGCATTGTGTCTTGGAATTTATGGATAAATAGAAATAAGGTTATTTTCCACAATCAACCTCTAGATAATAAGGGTTTGTTGAATAAAATCTTTCTTAATATTGATTATTTGCTCTATTATTATAGGAACAAGAAAAAGATCGTTGCTGATTGAGAAAATCTTGACTTGGTGAAGTGGAATCCTCCTCCAGATAGGTACCTAAGGCTCAACACTGATGGTGTTGTGTCCCTATCCCTAGGTTCAGCTAGCTACGGTGGCTTAATCCGTGATATAAATGAAAATTTCATTGCTAGATTCTACATTCCTTTAGACCTTGCCATCCAATTGTTGTTGAGCTTTGGAGTTTATATTGGGGTATTCATCTAGTTATTGCTAGAAAGATTCATTTTATTTGTATTGAATGTGATTCCAAAATAGTTATTTCTTTAATTATGAATGTTCAACATTGTAACCACCCATTTTATTTTATTATTAGCAAAATTAGGTTGCTCATTAGAAATGTTTAAGTATGTTAGGTTTAATTATTTCTAGAGAAGTCGCCAATCAATGTGCAAATTGGTTAGCTAAGATAGAGCTGAGGTTGGTGAGCCTTTTGCTGTGTTTAATGAAACTCCTTCCTCTCTTTTCCTTAATTTGTGACCTAGGCCAATGGCAGTTAGTTTTGTGTTTGTTTGAGTTTTAAGTCCCGTTTAATAAACAAAAAATAAAATTATGCAAAGATTAAAAGATAATTTAAACTTGATACATTAAATAGTCATTTATTTCAATAAGAGAGTTAATATTGTATAAATCGATAAAGATAAAATTTAAAATAAATTTTTATATAAATATACAATTTTTTATTTGTAAAAATTAAATTAAAAAAAAGTCATTAAACTTTCAAAAACTTATTGGTAAATTTTGTCGTGAAAAAAGCCGTTGAGGCTGAGTCCCTTAATTAAACAACGGCAATTTTGATCTGGTAGGTAGTAAATACAAGGGATTATTTATTCTTCACACGTGTCTGCGAACCATAGGGTTCTTCGTTAAGTCTCTCACGCTGCGTTGCACCTGATCCCATGACTAGAGTGGACTGGACTTTTTCTTTTCTGTGTTTGGTCTTCGAGAAAGTGAAAATCAAAATTTTCCCATAATTTTTCCCGAGAAACCCTAACCATCCGAATGTGCTATCGTAGCTGCATTCTTGCACTCCAATGACGCGTCGGTGTTGTCGGATTCCGTGATATCACTGGCGATTAAGGTCCAATCTTCATCAATCCGTTGTTGTATTGTAGGTATTGATTTCTTCTTTGATTTTTAGAATTTGAACTGACATTTTCTTCTCATCTTTTTGTGATAAAGGAAATTTACATTCTTTTGTAACCACATTTTTTGCTTTTTGTTTTTGTATTTTGTTTTTAATGTGTTCCTTTACTACAGTGCAGTAGAACTTGTGTTCTTGAAAGTGTATAAAATTGATCTTTGCTGAACTGGCATTTTTGCTTGATGTCATTGTGAATGAAGTATAGGCATTTGTTAGGACTAGAATGAGTGAATGTGGTGAAAGTAGATGGAGTAGCAGTCTGGACAAATTGTGGTTTGAGTTTTTGCAAGAATGACTTGACTTTTATGTAGACAATGTATGGTTTCAGAAGACATAATGAAGAATATGTAGGTGGCTTGAAGGAGGCATTTGGCATAACTTCATTTTGGAAATTCAGCTTAAAGTGTTTGGCGTAAGTTTTCAAATTGCTTTCCTATTAATCTTTTTTTTTTTTTTCTGGGATTTGGTTGTCCATGACGTGGTCTGTTTACGTCATTTTTCCTCCATGGGATTATCAATTTCCCATCTTCTGCAGCCAATTCTGTTTTCAAATAAAATGTCCATCTGTGTGTTCTTCAGTGCTCTTTTCTTGCTGTGGATTCTTGCGGGTGTGCGTTAAACCAACAATTTTATAGAGCAGTTTTCTCAGCTACCTTAGTAATTTTGTGAACCAATGCTGAAGTTTGTGGCTGAAAAGGTTGTTTTTGGTTGATTATTACAGCATTTAGAGAGGACTTGCTCATTGGAGAAAACCATCACAGGTGAAGCTCTGACTGTTCATGTTGGACTTGTAGAGCTCGGTTTGCTAGCTCTTTCAAAGTCATGTGAGCAAAAGTATACAGAGAGGAGGATAAGATATCATCTCTAGACTAGAAAATTCTAGACATAACTAGGAATTGGGGGAGAAAAGCACAATCATTAAGTAAGGATGCTCTTTTTTTCTTCATATACCAATGAAACAACCTAGAGAAACACTCCTACTGCATCAGTAAATGTAGCCCCATGCAATAACAAGTTTTGGGGCAAACAGACAATCTTAAAGCTGCACACATTCCACTCCAATTAAATGCACCTAAGGATGCATAACATACATACTTCCGCTTAAAGCAAGAATTACTGTGAACAAGTAAGACTTTCTTCTGGATGTCAAAGTTTATTCTGACACTTCTGCATGTTTTACAAATTTGTCCTCACTATTTCAAAGTTATTTTCTGTATTTTCCCCCCATAATTTTGCACTTGAAAGCAACTTTATTCTACACTGTTCAAGAAACTCTTCTTTCAATTTAATTGTTTTTAACACATTCTACTCATAAGCAATTCTTCACTAATGAACTCACCTTAAAAGTCAGGAACTGGATAAACCCCACTGTGGTTTTGTAATTATTGATCGATATTACATTATTCATCTACTACTTGTTTCTTTGGCAGATCCTTCCTTACACTTTTCTTATGTAAAACTTTTATTAAATTCTTGGTTCCTACTATATTCAAGTAATGGAGCACTATGATATGCAAAGACAAAGAAGGGATACGAAAAACAAAGGAAGGAATGTTGTGTGGTCAATTGCGATGGATAAGTGTCTAATTGAAGCCCTGGCAGTTCAGGCAAAAAGTGGAAACAAAATTGACAAATGTTTCAATGAAAATGCCTACACAGCAGCCTGTGTGGCTGTAAACACTCGCTTCAACTTGAATTTGAATAGTCAGAAAGTTATCAACCGGTTGAAAACAATTAAGAAGAGGTATAAAGTAATAGGAGATATGCTAAGTCAGGATGGTTTCTGGTGGAACCCAAATTCAAAGATGATAGAGTGTGACAGTGATGAGCTCTGGAAGAAATACGTTGCGGTATGTAATGTTTCATTTTCTCCATTCTTGGATGTGTATGAATTTATGTAAAATACCTATTCTGTTGTTCTTTGATTCAATGAATAGGCAAATCCTGATGCAAGAGGACTTCGTGGAAAGCAGATAGAGATGTATGATGAACTTAAAATTGTTTGTGGAAATTATCAAGCCCCAAGTCGTTGGGCTAGGATGAAGAGGGGAAGCCATCTAATGAACACGAAGAATTGCGGGGATGAATCAGCCTCCTTTGCTTCTCCCAGTTCAGAAGACATGAGTGAGACAGATGGAACTGAATCATATACTGGACCTCCAGAATTTGGCCAGATGCCAGATGGTTTTCAAGAGCCTCCTGTGGGCCAGCCTGTAAGACAACTTCCAAAACGGTCTCGTGGCTCAGATGGTCTTCAGGATGCTTTAATGACTGTAGCATCAAGCCTCCGACGTTTGGCTGATGCTATGGAGCAAAGCAAGTCCTCAGTTGATGCAAGTGAGCTATTACAGGCTGTGATGGAGATAGATGGATTGGAAGAGGGTAAACAGATGTATGCTTTTGAATATTTGAATGCTGATCCTGTTAAAGCCAGAGCCTTCCTCACATATAATGCTAGAATGAGAAAGATATACCTGTTTAGACAGTTTTCGTGGTGGAGATGAGGGTGATCATGTCTTGAAAGTTTTTGGTGTATAGATTATCTGGGGACCATGTTTCACAGATGTTTTCCTTTTGTTTGAGAAATTTTTTATCAATGTGTTGCAAGGATAATTGAATGTATAGACTGAAACTGTGATAAGAAATAGCCATGTACAGGAGACGTTAGAAAAATCCTCTCCCAAATATTCAAATGATAAAAAATTGTCATTGACGTAACAAATTAAGAATTACAGCCTTGGTTTTATTAATTTAATATGACACCATTTGATAGAATCAATTAATTCACCAATAATCCCCGCAAGAACAGCTTCCATTCTTAAAATGATGAAACCTTCGTAAATCGCGCACTATAATTTCCCTCCCTGTAACTAGTGAAATGTACTTAGTGGCATCATGGCAATCTTCACAAACTCGTAGATTCTTCCTAACGTGTATTGTTGTGCCAGGGCTTGTATTCAGAAGTCCAAAAGCAATAGCAAGTTTCTCACTATGGCTACTGAGCAATTGTTCCTTCACATCTTCTTCTACATCATGAATTGAATTGGTGTCAGGCACATAACCTGCAGCCCTGATCTCATCTCCAAGAGTCTGAAGAAAAGCATAGATTCTTTTGGATTGAGGATGACTTGCACTTCCAGAGTAGAACGTATGAACCTCATTTCTCAACTCCACCAAACTGCTCCCCGGAGTTTTGGGGAGCCCCTTCTTCTCCATGGCTGTCCTCACCATAGCAACTTTGTCCCACATTGAAGTAGAGGCATACATATTGGCAAGCAACACATGATACCCTCCCTCATCTGGGTCTAACTCAAATAATTTGGCTGCAGCCTTCTCTCCCAATTCTACATTTTTGTGGATTTTGCAAGCACCTAGCATTGCACCTAGAACAGAAATCCCAGGTTTGACAGGCATTTGTTGGATGAAATTCCAAGCATCGTGTAGCTGGCCAGCGCGACCAAGGAGATCAACCATGGCACTATAGTGATCCATAGAATGCTCCAAGCCATAATCTTTCTTCATACTATTGAAGTAGAAGAGCCCCTCTTCCACTAAACCTGAGTGACTACAAGCTGAGATAACAGATAAAAATGTTGTATCATTTGGCATGATGGCTTCCTTCTTCATTTCATTGAAGAGATCCAGAGCTTCTTTTCCAAGGCCATGTGTCCCATATCCATCTATCATTGCATTCCATGTTATCAGACGTCTTTCTTGCATCATGTCAAAAAGCTTTCTTGCAGTTTTGATGGCTCCACATTTTGCATACATGTCAACAAGAGCAGTGGAAACAAATGCATTCTTGTCCATATAAGTTCTTATAGCAAGTCCATGAATCCACTTGGCCTGGCGGTTGACTGAGAAATCTGCAAGAGCAGAAATTACACCCACTAATGTAAAGCAATCAAGCTTAATGCCTTGAGATTGCATTATACAGAATAGATTTAAAGCCTCCCTTACACACCCATTTTGTGCATATCCTAATATCATGGCATTCCATGTGACATTTGTTTTCTCCTTCAAATTACCAAATATTGAGGCTGCTATATCAACTCTCTTACACTTAGAATACATGGATATTAAAGAGTTCATAACAGAGACATCAAAATCAAGTTTCAGCTGTTCAACCAATTTATGAATAAATCTCCCTCGTTCCAGATCACCTAAGTTAGCACAAGCAAGTAAAGCTCCCATGACAGCAACACGCGTGGGTTTCTCCCCTTGATCCAACATCTTCAAAAACGTTGCAAAAGCTTCTTCAGATTCACCATTTTGTGCATAACCATCAATCATGGTATTCCATGAAACAGCACGCTTACAACTTATTCCCGTAAAAACCAACCTCGCAGTCTGTGCAGACCCACATTTGAAGTACATGTCCAAAAGCGCATTTGCAACATTAACTAGAGATTCAAATCCTGATCTAAAAGCATAACCATGAATAGACCTTCCAATTCTCAAAGCCTTGATATCCGCCACAGCAGGTAAAACACTGACCAACGTGACTGAATCAGGCCTTTGGCCAGCTTCCTGCATCTGCAAAACCAATTGCAAAGCTCTCTTAGCAAATCCATTTTGTGCATACCCTGCAACCAACGTAGTCCAAGAAACCAAATCCTTCTGGGGCATTCTCTCGAACATCTGATATGCATCTTCAATCTGCCTACACTTGGCATATAAATTCATAACAGCAGTCATGGCAAACAAATTGGACTGAAACCCATTAGTTATCATCTGGCCATGAATCTCTCTACCCCTTTTGAGGTCCAAATTCTCTCCACACAATTGCAACAAGCAAGCATAACCACCCACAAAGGGTCTAATACCATCAAACATCATCGTACAGAAAAAGGACAAGGCCTCATCTAAATTTGAGTTTTTTGCATACCCTTTGAGCATAATTTGGTAAAGCGTGTTAAGCTTTTGCTCAACACGTTCAAAAACACGAACTGCTTCACTGATGCTACCATATTTGCAGAACAAGGTGATAAGCTTGGTCTGAAATAGGTGTTCATTGTAGAAGCCATTTTTTATGATAAGGGGAAGGATTTGATAAAGCTCTTTGGTGGAAGTACAATTTTGTAACAGTATAGCTGAAGGGTGCCTATGGACACGGGTATGAATTGACTCAATTGAGATTCTTTGGTAGAGAGAGGTGGTGGTCGTTGTTTTGGAGTTTGAGTTTGTGTTTGGGTTGCACAGAAAGAGTGAAGGATATACAGCAACAAGCTGCAACCTCATTCTAAATAGATCAGTCTCACCTTGATTTGGAAGAAATAATTCCAAATCCTGCAAATTTTTATATCTGCAATTACAAATCTTACTATTTACCAAATAAAAAAATATTAAATATATATTTTAAATATTTTCAAGTTAATATATATATATATAATATTTGTATTCTATTTTTTATATTTTAATAATTTTCTTTTCTGTATTTTATTGTCATTTTATAAAATCAACCAATAATTTTTTTATTTTAACAATTAATTTGTATTTAGTAAAAAATAATAAAAGCAAGACATTAACTAATATAATAAATTTATAGTATAATTAAAAATTAAATATTATTTTATAAAATTAAAAATATCAATAATTTTTCATTTTTATGTAAAACTTGAAACGTAAAAAAAAATTATAAAGTAATAAAAAATTATTTAAGAAAAATATGTTAAAGGATTAAAAAATCCATTCGAGCTGGTTGATGTGTACATATTTATAGTTTAGCATTATTTATTCATTTATTTATTTTGTTCAATATTACAGTTAGCATTTTAAGTGTCAGCTACGACTGGAGCATTGCAACACAGCCGATGAAGTGGTTGATCCAACATATATTTGTCCAAAGCCCAAATCTTTCCTTGTATATATTTTCTTCTTGAAAAATGATCAGTTAACACCCTTAAAATAGAGTGTGAAATGGATGGAAAAGAGAAAAAAAGTGCACTTGGTTGATGATATGATAGAAAGAGAGAGAACAATGGAAAATAATTGCAAGAGTGTGAGTGAAATAATATATTTATTCATTTTTCCTTTTCAAGCTTTAATATTATGTCAAATTATCATAAAGAATGACAAGTTAATGAACAATTGTAAACTTGGGTTTAAATAAACTTAATTTTGCAAATTAATTTTGCTTAAAAGTCAGTTTAAATTAATATAATTTATGTTTGAAAATCTTTCTCTTAAAAATAAGTTTGAAATAAAATGAAGTATAAATTTTTTTAATTCAATAAAAAACCTACAATTTATCATATCTACTCAAATGTGAGTTTAGAGCCAAAATCAATTTTGATTCAAACCAATCAAACATATTAGCACGATAATCAAAATGCATTTGCATCTATTCAACATCATATGAAGATGCAAAGCATAATTCTAAACCAGCCCTTAGTTGGGAGTCAAAAGAAATTCTTATTTCCCAATTTTATAAGTTTATAACATTATTTTTCTCTAATCTTTTTGAACACATTTTCCTTCTCTTATTCCTTGTCCTCAGTTCCATTAATGCCATTTATTTTTCCTCAGTTATCACTAATCTACTGTTGTGGCCACCTACCTGCCATTTGTAGGGCTTCTCTATTTGAAAATTGGAGGTTATATGGTTTACATTCTTTTTTGTTTCTATGTTATGGAAGGATCTATCATTTGTTGTCTGGTTTTGTGAGTCATTCTCATCTCCATAATTGATCCAAATAATGGCATTCATCTAGGGAAGTAAACTTAATGAGTATATCCATTGAGGGGACTCAATTAACTCTCAAGCTACTGGCCCTCACCAAAGGAACCATTACAGAATGAAGACAACACAGGTATCTATTGATTCACCAGTAATCCCCACAAGAACAGCTTCCATTCTTAAAATGATGGAACCTTCGTAAATCGCGCACTATAATTTCCCTCCCTGTCGCTAGTGAAATGTACTTAGTGGCATCATGGCAATCACCACAAACTCTTAGATTCTTCCTAATGTGTATTGTTGTACCAGGCTTTGTATTTAGAAGTCCAAAAGCAATGGCAAGCCTCTCACTATGGCTACTAAGCAATTGTTCCTTCACGTCTTCTTCTACGTCGTGAATTGAATTGGTGTCAGGCACATAACCTGCAGCCTTGATCTTATCTCCAAGAGTCTCAAGAAAAGCATAGATTCTTTTGGATTGAGGATGATTAGTACTTCCTGAGTAGAATGTGTGAACTTCATTTCTCAACTCCACCAAACTGCACCCTGGAGTTTTCTGGATCCTGTTCTTCTCCATCGCTGCTCTCACCTTAGCAACTTTGTCCCACATTGAAGCAGAGGCATAAATGTTCGCGAGCAATACATGATACCCACCATCATCTGGGTCTAACTCAAATAGTTTGTCTGCAGCCTTTTCTCCCAATTCTACATTTTTATGGATTTTGCAAGCACCTAGCATTGCACCTAAAACCGTTATTCCTGGTTTGATGGGCATCTGTTGGATGAAATTCCAAGCATCATCTAGCTTGCCGGCGCGACCAAGGAGATCAACTATGGCACCATAGTGATCCATTGCAGGCTCCAAGCCGTAAATTTTTTTCATGGTTTCGAAGTAATAGAGGCCCTCTTCCACTAAACCTGAGTGACTACAAGCTGAGATAACAGACAGAAATGTTATACCATTGGGCTTAATAGTACTCTTTTGCATTTCATTGAAGAGATACAGAGCTTCTTTTCCAAGGCCATGTGTCCCATATCCATCTATCATTGCATTCCATGTTATCACATGTCGTTCTTGCATCATGTCAAAAAGCTTTCTTGCTGTTTGAACGGCTCCGCACTTTGCATACATGTCAACAAGAGCTGTAGCAACAAAGACATTCTTGTCCATCAAAGTTCTTACAGCAAGTCCATGAATCCACTTAGCCTGGCGGGTAACTGATAAATCTGCAAGAGCTGTAGCTACACTCACTAATGTAAAGGAATCAGGTTTAATGTCTTGAGATTTCATCATACAGAATAGATTTAAAGCTTCATTTACACAGCCATTCTGTGCATAACCTAATATCATGGCATTCCATGTTACGATTGTTTTCTTTGTCAAATTATTAAATACTGAGGCAGCAATATCAACTCTCTTACACTTTGAATACATGGATATTAAAGAATTCATAGCTGACACATCGAAACTGAGTTTCTGCTTATCCAACAATTTGTGAACAAATCTCCCTCTTTCAATATCACCTAAATTAGCACAAGCATGTAAAGCTGCCATCATACTAACATTTGTCGGTTCCACCCCTTCATCCAGCATCTTCAAAAATGTTGCAAACGCTTCTTCAGATTCACCATTTTGTGCATAACCATCAATCATCGTATTCCACGAAACAACATTCTTACTACTCATTCCGTTAAAAACCAACCTTGCAGTCCTCACAGACCCACATTTGAAGTACATATCCAGAAGTGCTGTTGCAACATTAACCAGAAATTCCAATCCTAATCTGAAAGCATAACCATGAATAGACCTTCCGTTTCTCAAAGCCTTGACATCTGCCACAGCCGGCAAAACGCTGACCAATGTGATTGAATCTGGCTTTTGGCCAGCTTCCTGCATCTGTAAAACCAACTGCACAGCCCTCCTGGCAAAGCCATTCTGCGCATACCCCGCAACCAACGTATTCCAAGAAACCAAGTCCTTCTTCGGCATTCTCTCAAACATCTTATACGCATCTTCAATCTGCCTACACTTAGCATACAAGTTCATAACAGCAGTCATGGCAAACAAATTGGACTCAAACCCATTAATTATCATCTGTCCATGAATCTCTCTACCCCTTTTGAGGTCCAAATTCTCACCACACAGCTGCAACAAGTAAGTGAAATCATACACCACAGGCCTAACCTCATCACACTTCATCCTATGGTAAAAGCCCAAGGCATCACCTAAAGTTGAGTTTTTTGCATACCCTTTGAGCATGGTGTGGTAAAGAACATCAAGCTTGTGCTCAACAGGCTCAAAAACACGTGCTGCCTCACTGATGCTGCCATATTTGCAGAACAAGCTGATAAGCTTGGTCTGAAACAAGTGCTCATTGTAGAAACCGTTTTTAATGATAAAGGGAAGGATTTGATGAAGCTCTTTCATTGAAGTGCAGAGTTCTAAGAGAATAGCTGAAGGATGTCTATAGACATGGGAAGGGATGAAGATTCTTTGGTAGAGAGGGGTTGTTGTTGGCGTTGTGGTTTTGGTGTTTGTGATTGTCTTGTTGGGAATGGGTGCAGAATGCAGAGTTAGGAGCTGTGAGCTCATTCTTCTTCGATCTCTCTCACCTACGACTCAATCGAAAGGCATCAGGTTCTTTGGACTAATAGATTCATAATATTCAAATATATAGTATCTACGTTAAAAAGAAATCTAAATTCAGTTTATTGCGATATTTAAAATCATAATTTTTATTGTCTTTTTTAATTTTAGACAAGTATTCTAAAGATCACTACGAAATTTTTCTGTACCAACATGCACGGTAAATATCACACATTTCCTTATTTTTATGAATATTTTTATTTTTATATGTTATTCTTATTTTATATTTAACTATAAAAAAAAATACACACGTTTCATAATCTATTTGTAACACAATACTTTTAGCTCTCATCTTTAAAGATCTTTGTGTATGAAAAACGATAAAATATAAATAAATAAGAAACTATATATTTATTAGCAATTAAGTATAAGGTTAATGTTTAAGTAATAAAACTGTATTAGCACAAGTTTTAATTTGAGTGAGGTCTTGGCTCTATGTTTTAGCAACAATTGAATTCGGTGGATTTCAAATCTAAAAGCCTATAATTGAAGTAACATGTGTATGGATTTTTTTTATTATTATTACTCTTTTGCAATTTCAAATGGTTTAAGAGAGGAACTCACATGGATGAGATTTGAGATTAAGAGGGTGAGGGAGAGGGAGAGAATATAAGAATTTTGATAAAATTAGATGTCTACTTTTTTTTTTCTTAAGCAATTTTAGATTTGTTTAAGTAAATTTAAAATTATTATTTAAGTGAAAAATAGTTTAAAGACTGAAGATTAGGTTAAACAAATTTATAAATAACTAAATTTTGGAACAAATGAATTTCAAACCACCATGTCAAGCCAATGAGGTTTAAGAAGGAGAGTTTGAACACTTATGCACAAATTTAGATCTCATTTTTGTTTGCTAATTAACTTGCTCTAATCACTCACACATCATATGTGCCTACACCTTCGGCTTACCTCATATACAACATCATGGAAGGGATAACAGTGGACATTGTTACTATGATGTCTAACGAGATTCACTTGTTTGTGATGTTTAACTCCTTCCCTTATGCAGTTGCAATAAAACTCTTAAGGATTCCCATATTAATCATTGTTCTTTGTGAAGCTCAAGGTGTTCACATACCAAACAAATGGAAGCCAATCATCAAGCTTATACACACTTACACCAACAGATGATGGCTAACCATTGAGCTTACACACACCTGAATGAATTATTCTACTACTCACCCTACACCTACATGAAGGAGACATTTTCACATTCTCATGACCTGTACCTGAAGAATTTGTAGCACGTGTCATCTCCTGAAGACACCCCTCCCTGCCTGAATGAGCCTAACCAATATGAAAAGGATGAAAGATATTATGAAGAAGAAGGAGAGGCTAATCATGATAATGATGATGGGGGCCATAATAACAAGAGGTGAGAGAAAAGACACAAAAGGATAAGCTTGATCAAGAGCAATATGGTCTAGAGGGAAGTAGCACATTGAGGAGGATTAACTTGTAAATGATGTGAATGAAGAAGCACCGTGAAGGCTTTTTGTTTTATTTCATGTTTTATTTTATTTTATTTTTTTCGTTTGACATTGTATTTTGTTTGAAGGACCTCTTAACATTTGAACTTAATTATGCAATTTCTATATATAATATATGTCTCACTTTCTAAATGTTTAATTTGTGAAACATTTCCTTTAGTTGTTTGTTGTGTTTGAATTTTAATTTTTTACAACATAGGAACCATCTTTTGCATTTTTCATTTAAGTAAAACATAATTTGCTTAAGTAGAAGACATTTCGCTTAAGCTAGTTAGTCTTCGCTTAAGCAAAATAGACTATCATGGTAAGATTGCTCTTTGTCCGATTTTTACTTAAGCAAATGTCATTTTGCTTAAGTTATTTAAGCGTCACTTAAGCGATTTTAAATTCCTGAGAGCGTGTGTTTTGTGTCCAATTTTCACTTAAGAAATTTAGATTTCGCATAAGTGATTCCTATTTTGCTTAAGCAAGCCTACTCTCGCTTAAGCCATAATCAATGTCCTCATTTTGTGGTTTCTATTGAATCTTCACTCCATGTAGTGAATACTCGCTTAAGTAATTTATGGCTTGCTTAATCAAAATTTATTTGTTCCAAGATTTAGTCACTTATAAATTTGCTTAAGCTAATTATCACTCTCACTTAAGCAATAATTTCAAAATTCACTTAAGCAAGTTCAAAATCGCTTAAGCAAATAAAGAACTAGATGTTCAATTCCCGTGTAAACTAGAGAGGATCTGAATCTTATATGATATTGCTAAGATTTAAAAGTAAAGAATTACAAAGGGAAAGACTCATAAAGCTATGGTTAAGGATAAGGTTATAATTGATCACTTTCTTCACATATAGTGATCACACGCAAGCCTTTTTAAAGGAATGAAGTTGTACGTGGCTACTATTCTCACAGAAAGTGATTACTTTGAGTGCACATGGCTACTTTCAGCACATAAAGTGATCACTACAGAGTGTTGTCAGGAAAATTACCCTGCGCGTGGTTACTTTCTACATAAACAGTAACCACGCCAGAAGAGTAGAAATTTTGTAAAAAGCTAGAAACTTAGTCTTTTGGGGTCTTTTCTCATTTTTTTCATTTCTACACTTTTGGAGAGTTAGAGAGGAAGATTGAGGATGACTTCCAAGCTCTAGACCTTGAGGAATCAAGCTAGGGATTGAATTTATGAACCCTTAAACTATTGAGCAAAGTCTAAGATGTCAAACTTTTCTAGACTACCTATGTTAGAGACAATTCATGTGTAAATAAGACGTGTAGGAATATTCCTTCAAGAATAGAGATACTTCAACTCCCTAGTTTTGCAGTTATAGTGTTAGAAGTGGGAAGAATGAAGCCAAGTTACAAAGAAAAGCAATATTCGAAAATGGTTAAAAGTATCAAATAGGAAACGATGGAGACAAGAGTTCGTATTATTGGTCGTTGTGCTACCAGGGGACCAAGAGACAAGGAACTATATAAGAAACAAAGGATAGAAAATAAAGATCTTTTCCCTTGAAGTATAGGTACTTCAAAGGTTCTATAACCCTCCCTAGAGAGAAGAGTAAAGGAACTTCATTAGGGGCTTCTTCTAAACAAGGTGTTCCTACAAGTGTGCTTCCTAAACTTACAAACTTAAAGCACAACACAGAGACGAAGGACGAAATGACTTCGTGATTTATGAACACTTCAAGGCATAAGAAAGCGTGTTCAGATGAGTATTCCTCGATATGCTTGATTGAAGGAATAACGCTCAGACGAAATTAAGAGAGCATTCTAGCAAATGAGAACTCATAGGCGATATTTGGCTTGGAGGGCTTTCAAGCGCACTTTACTTTAGTACAGGCATTCTACGCCTTGAAAAAGAGGTTGTAGTTATCCTGGACATAACTTGCATCTTGAAGCATTAATCAACTCCCTTATAAGAAGGAGACATGTATAAAGATAATAGTAGACTCATTCTCCCAGAAAAGTACCCATTATGCTTAACTGGTTCACTTTTATGAGTCAAGCATCCATAGTTCCCATTCATACGCACTTCATAAGTTTACAAAATACAACCTTTATGTAATTATTGATCTTGAAACATTTGGTGACTCTACTGGAGAAGTACACTTGAAAATGGAAGGAGCTTAGGCACAATAACCTATGATAAGGCTGAGGATGGCGTCATTCAATTTGGATGACTTATTGCATAACAAAGGGTGAACACAAAATCTACTAGGCAAAATGGATGAAGGAGCATTGAATAATAATATCAGTGAAAACTTTAAAAAAAATTAAAGCACAAAGTTCACTCTCATTAAGTCATGCTCTTTTAGAACAAGCCAAGCGTTTAGTTTAAGCTAAAGAGAGTTAAGAAACTGCTAAATAATGTTTGCTCGAAAGAACTAACCCACAAAGAAAACTACTCGTTATCTAGGAAGAATACCCAAAGGTTTAGAGTACTGTTCATGACATAATGACTAAACATGTTGTAACATCCTCGTTTTTGCTAAACGATTAATTTATTAATATAGTTCTAAGTTAATATATAGTTTTTGATTTTTTGGAAAAAATTGGGATAGAATTAGCATGAGATGCTTTAGACAAAATTGTTAGGTATATTTTTAAGAAATTTTTGGTAATTTTTAATTTTAAAATTTTTAAGTTTCAAAAAGTGTCAATTTGTATTGGTTAAAATTGTTGTATAATGCTAAAAATAACATTTTATTTTAAAAAAATAACAATAATAATAATAAAAATTATAAAAATTTATATTTTATTTATAAATATTATTTGGAATATAAAAATAATTTTTTTGTAATTAATGAGCATTTTTGGATTTTCTGGTTAATTTTATGTAAATTAGTTATATGCTCAAGCAGAAATTGCGTGTAAAAATTTTGGACACCAACTAAAGGATCAATAGTGTCAAAAATTATTTTATAATTATGTTTAATATATTCCATGATTATTTTTAAATTTTGGGATTTTTATCTAATTATTTCAATTAATTATTAAAAAATTAGTGAAAATTCTAATATTATATTATTATTTTTACTATTTAAGATAAGATCAATTCATCAATTCATCCAATTCACTCTTGGCTGCCGTAAGTGCTCTTCTTCTCCTTCCAAAAGCTTTGAAACTTCTTTGGCTCTAATCTTTTGATTTTCCAAGTAAGTTCATTAAATTTTTTTAATATTCCATCTATTTTCATCATTTTGAACATTTTTAACCGATTAATTTTTTTATTTTCTTCCTCTTTTGGGTGCTGGAACAGTGGCATGAGGGTGAGATTTTGTCCAAAAATTTTGTTTCTAAATTATGTTTTAATTAGCTTAATCTTTCTATATTTTATAATAAATAATTTTGGTGCTTTTTGTTTTGTTAAAAATACATTTGGGGGTTTAAAACCCTTGGTCTAGAGGTGCTGTCCCAAGAGTGTTATGAAGGGAAAATAATTATTTTTAATCACCTTTAGGCTTATAGTATTCCATTTACATCATAGAAAACAATTGTAAGACCCGTAA